GTTTTATTACACCAGTCCCAACAACTATCGATGTGTGTCAATATAGTATGATTATTAACGATAATGATTATTGATACACGTGTGTTTTATTACACCAGTCCCAACAACTATCGATGTGTGTCAATGTAGTATTATTATTAATGATAATGATTATTGATACACGTGTGTTTTATTACAACAGTCCCAACGACTATCGATGTGTGTCAATGTAGTATTATTATTAATGATAATGATTATTGATACACGTGTGTTTTATTACACCAGTCCCAACGACTATCGATGTGTGCCAATGTAGTATTATTATTAATGATAATGATTATTGATACATGTGTGTTTTGTTACACCAGTCCCAACAACTATCGCTGTGTGCCAATGTAGTATTATTATTAATGATAATTATTATTGGTACACGTGTGTTTCACTACACCAGTCCCAACAATTATTGATGCATGTCAATATAGTATTATTATTAACGATAATGATTATTGATACACGTGTGTTTTATTACACCAGTCCCAACAACTATCGATGTGTGTCAATGTAGTATTATTATTAACGATAATGATTATTGATACACATGTGTTTTGTTACATCAGTCCCAACAACTATCGATGTGTGTCAATGTAGTATTATTATTAACGATAAGATTATTGATACACGTGTGTTTTATTACACCAGTTCCAACAACTATCGGTGTGTGTCAATGTAGTATTATTATTAACGATAATGATTATTGATACACATGAGTTTTGTTACATCAGTCCCAACAACTATCGATGTGTGTCAATGTAGTATTATTATTAATGATAATTATTATTGATACACGTGTGTTTTGTTACACTAGTCTCATGTCAATGTAGTACTGGGCCCGGCATGGCCAGGTGGATAAGACGCTCGACTCGCAATCTGAGGGTCGCGGGTTCGAATCCCCGTCCCACCAAACATACTCGTCCTTTCAGCCGTGAGGGCGTTATAATGTGACGCTCAATCCCACTATTCGTTGGTAAAAGAGTAGCCCAAGAGTTGGTGGTGGGTGGTGATGACTAGCTGCCTTCCCTGCTAAATTAGGGACGGCTAGCGCAGTATAGCCCTCGTGCAGCTTTGCGCGAAATTCAAAAACAAACATTGTAGTACTATTATTAATTATTATTATTATTGAAACGTGTAATTTTTATTTTCATAGAGCATTGAAATATAAAAATTACTACTTTTTAAAGATAAAGAAAATTGATTTATTGAAATAAACTTAACACTTGAGGTTTAAAAATGCTTGATAACAATGTTTATTATGAAATGACGTGTCTTTAATTTTTTATTGTTATTATTGTTTTTACTACTAGTAAGGACATTCTTGCCTGAATAATTAAAAGCCAGAACCGGTTTCTTAACAGTAATATTTTAAAGATGTGTTTACATGTTTTCTCTGATAGCTCAGTGAGAGAAAATTATTTACTCAATAAAAAATTTCTACAACAAAGCACCATTATTCAGTAAACTCATGAAGTCAGTGTTCTGTGTACGTCTCAGCATCATTATTCAGTAAACTCATGAAGTCAGTGTTCTGTGTACGTCTCAGCACCATTATTCAGTAAACTCATGACGTCAGTGATCTGCATACATGTAAACAACATGATTCAGTAAGCTCATGTTTTAAGTGTTCTATATACATATCAGCACTAGTATTCAGTATGCTCGTGTTTTAAGTGTTTTATACACATATCAGCATTAGTATTCAGTAAGCTCATGTTTTAAGTGTTCTATATACATATCAGCACTAGTATTCAGTAAGCTCGTGTTTTAAGTGTTCTATATACATATCAGCACTAGTATTCAGTATGCTCATGTTTTAAGTGTTCTATATACATAGTCAGCACTTGTATTCAGTAAGCTCGTGTTTTAAGTGTTTTATACACATATCAGCATTAGTATTCAGTAAGCTCATGTTTTAAGTGTTCTACCTACTTCAAAACGCTAGTTTACAGTAAGCTGGTGACGTCAGTGTTCTATATACATCTAAGCGCTATTTTCCATATTCTATGTGTTTCCTCCAGGCGGACCCTACACGTTGCTGGCTCCTACTGATGAGAACCTTCGTTCGCTCACAGGAAAAGCCTTCGATCTTCTTTTCTCTAATGTGACAGTTTTAAGACGTAAGTGTCCTACTGTCCGCTGCTTCTTTGACAGTTCTGGTCGTTCTGTCAGCCGTTGTCATTTATAATTTTTACTTATGAAAACAGAGAGATTAGTTAACTGTTATTTGACCAGTAACAATAAAATGTTGGTGTAAAATGTTTTACTCAGAGTCGTGTATGTGAGTTACTCTTTCTCATTATTAGTTTATAAAGAGCAGAAAATTATCACAGGTTTCTTATGAAGAAGTCTCATTGAAAAGTAGCCTATTTTATATATTATCATTTTTTAACAAATCTATGGATCACTTTTCTCATTCATTATAACGAAAGTCCGAATTGTTGAAAATTCGAAAAGAAGCCTTCTAAGTGAAATTACTTTTTTTGATATTTGTGGTTTCTGTTGGTAACGCTGTTATGAAGCAACTAGTGAATAATGTTGAATTGTTAAGGTTACGTGCCCAGTTAGTGAACGGTCAGCAGAACATATTGTAAAAAAAAATAATTAACTAAAACTAATCATACAATAATTTCTTCTTGAAGTTATGTTTTCTGTAACATCTCAGTTTATTATTATTTACTATAATTGTTTAATAATAAGTTAGTAGGACCAACTCTCAGCTACTCGTAAACAAAGAAAGATGAGGTTTAACATGTTTAATACTAACAAGTTTAGGACCAATTCTCACCAACTTGAAACAAAGAACAGGTTTAACATGTTTAATACTAACAAGTTTAGGACTAATTTTCACCAACTTGTAAACAAAGATCAGGTTTAACTTGTTTAATACTAATAAGTTTAGGACTAATTCTCACAAACTTGTAAACAAAGATCAAGATTAACTTGTTTGATACTAATAAGTTTAGGACCAATTCTCACCAACTTGTAAACAAAGAACAGGTTTAACATGTTTAATACTAACAAGTTTAGGACTAATTCTCACCAACTTGTAAACAAAGATCAGGTTTAACTTGTTTAATACAGATAAGTTTAGGACTAATTCTCACCAACTTGTAAACAAAGATCAGGTTTAACTTGTTTAATACTAATAAGTTTAGGACTAATTCTCACCAACTTGTAAACAAAGATCAGGTTTAACTTGTTTGATACTAATAAGTTTAGGACCAATTCTCACCAAGTT